AGAAACCTCTCCTATGTGGCACCCTCTCTTCATTCCTTGATATTGAGGAGACTGCCCTGAACCTCTCCCTCACGTCCCCCATGTGATTCCAGCAAGCGCTCCCTTGTCCTCCCCACCCCAAGGTCTCTAACTTCCATGTGGATGACCCAACCCTCTGGCCCAGTGTTTTATCTAGTGAAGGTTATGGCCCATTAATGCATCCTGAAATCAGTTTAGTGTGTAATGACCAGCATTACAAGACAGAGTAGAAAAGTAGCAGCACATCGTATTAAGTAAGGGTGTTTTTTAATGAAACTTTTATTTCCGACATTTATGTCTGTACTGCTCTGGACACTCAGTTCCTCGACCTCCTTTTCTCCCAGGACCTTCTTTACCTGTTCTCACTTTAGTGACCATTCCTACAACCAGACCTTGGACCTGGTCACCACTGAGAACCGATCCATCTCCAAAACTCGTTATTTCCACTGTATAATCACTACCCGCCTCCTATTCTGCCATCTCTCTCTTAACTTACACTAAATCCACTGTTTTTTATTTTCTTCCTTTTAACTCATATTTATTGAATCCACATTTTCTGCTCCTCAGTATTCCTATTGAGACTGACATAGCTCAGTTCATCAGCATCTCTCTTTATGGGCAATTGCTTTAACTTTCTAGATGGTTTCTTTGGTGCCTTTTAGGATTACCCCTTCCAAGTCCCACACTGACCATGGCATTCCTAAACTTAGAAGTGTGATCTGGTTCCCCTTTGTCCAAACTCACGAGACTCTTCTCAGCAGTACTCAATTTACTCAGCCAGATTTTTTTCCCCTTAGGCAGAGTCCCTCTAAACCAACTCTTCATTTCCTCATCTCTCACATGCTTCCAAATAGAGTCATGCCAGCTTCTCATCCTGCCACGACCCTATTCTGGGGATTTACTTCACCCACAGCCCCTGCTGGGGCAGTGTCCCTGTATGTACCCATTCTCTGTCACAGCCCCACTCCATGGCCTCTGACTCAAGGGCAGAGCACAGGGACCGGCCAGCCTGCTGCGAACCGTGTGGACAGACTCCTCTCTTAGGAAATTAAGGGGCTCTTCCAAGGATGCTGTGGAAGCTACATATGAAATCTCCTGCAAGTTGAAGCTGAAGAAACCAGTCCACAGAAAGAGAATCAAACAGGGACCACCAAGCAGCCCCTGAGAGAGAGAAACAGAGAAAGTAGCTGCTTTATCCCAGTGGCCAGTTCTAAGTTCCCAAGGGGTCTGGCTGCAAGGAGAATCCTTGAGAGCCTGGTACTTCTACATCCAGGCCTGCGTTTGCCTGAGTGACCTTCAGTGGCCCTCTTCCCTCCAGCTCAGAGAGCCCAGATCAGAACATGCAGCCCCCTGAACGACTGTGGCCCAGCACGGGGTTCTGTGCCTTTGGGCACATTCCATATGCCCTGGCTCCCATGTGACAACTGCCTACTTCTCCTCCAGGAAAACAAATGCCCTTTATTGAGTCCCCAGACCCTCAGGCCAGTCCTTCCTCTGCATCCCTTCACTCATTCCTGGTTATCCAAACATCTCCTGCACTGTTTGTGTTTCTGTATCTGTCATGGGGATAGCGTCATATCCTACTCATATTTTTATCTCCCCGATCTGGGGGTGAACAGCAGATTCTGTTGGTCCCCAGCCCACACCGCCCACCTGGGAAGTCGCAGGCCTGAGGTCGTTGCAATAGACTCTGAATGACTTTCTGTCTCCCTGCCTGACAGTGCCCTGCCCAGGCCAGAGTGCCAGGGGATGAGAGCCCCAGGAGGCCCTGAAATAGAGAAATATCTCTGCTTCCTGCCCCTCTGTGGGTCCACTGTGCTCTACACTGTACCTCAGAGGGGCCCTTGTGAAATCGAGTCCCAGTTGCCTCTGATGGCTTTCTTCCCTTCCCTGTCTCATTTCCTCACTCCCTCACCTTGCCTTCTGGAATCAGCTCCCAAATAACCTACTTGTATCCAAATAAATACATGTCTCAGGGATTGCTTTTAGGTGAACCCAAACCAAGAAGGGAGATGAAGCACCCAGTGCTTGACAGATAGTGAATGAACAATGGAGGCCTTCAGCCCCTCACCCCTCTTCCTACTGGCACAGGATGTCCCACTCTCCTCCCCCCAGTTCACTTTCTTCTCCCTAGACAGGACCCCACGGTCCAGGACTTTGACCTTATGCTCATCAGCACTCTCACTTCCCTTGGTCACTGGCCATTTGGAAGAGCTACCCTGATGATCCAGAGGACTGACGCACCCCTGCTGAGGGAAGCTGAGGGCTGCAGGGGAAGCTCTCCTATGTTGGTGGGGGCCATTTCACATTTATAATTTTCTACCCCAATGTAGCTTCAAAATGCTTTTACTTGCCCCCAGTTCATTTTCTTTAGCAACCTCCACAGAGACTTTGTCCACTTTTCCCCATGATACCCGCCCCCTTCTTTATTCTCCCCTCCACCCTCCTAGTATCTGGGAGTGAATTTATTAAGTTTTAGAACTTGCTAAAAAAAGGGCTCTGATTTCAGAACCCCAATGAGGCCCCTCAGTATAGTCAAGTAGGGGTAGGAGACAGGCTGCAGACATGCCGAGTATAGTGCTGTGCACAGGAGTGTAAATAATTGTTACAAGGCTGTCAACATGTCAAAATGGTCTGGTCTGGCCAGGGGAAGAGGGCATCATGGTGATACTGAAACAAAAGGACAATACTTGAGTAAGTACTATTATTAGTTCTATTTTTTGTATATGAGGAAACTGAGGCAAAGAGAGCTTGCCCAAGGTCACACAGCTGGCAAATGGTAGAGCCAGGATTTGAACCCAGACAGTCTGGTTCTGGGGCGCATGAACTTAACTACCATATCATATTGCATCTACTGATTTTTTTAATATAAATTTATTGATAAGCGATTGAAAAGTCAGCACAATGCCATCCATCATCTGCCTCTCAGGGGTGGGATGCTTATAATAAATGAGATCAATCAGTAATATATTTCAAAGAAATTTTCATATGAAAAACACTATATGTGTATTCTACCTTGCATTATTACTTATCCCTTATTAGTGCACATGAAATTGACATAGGTGTGTTTTCTCCTGGTTGCTCTGGAGATGCCAATCATGGATAAAAGTAAGTCACTGTAGTACAGTTAACACAATGGCAAACAAAGGCACCCAAATACAGCTAAAACCATGGCTGTATCTCCACTTCTATATCTGAAAAATGGATGGCTGGACTAGACAATGTCTCAGGTCCCTTCCAACACTAAGGTTTTGTTTTTCCACCTTTGGTCAAACAGGAAAAACTTAATTTTGAGCCTCCTGACGTGGGTGTTTGGAGTCAAGGAGGGAGTCTGTGTGAGAATTGGAACAGTCGATGGCACACAATCACAGTGCTCTTTAGAAGTTAGTAGCAGCATTTCTTATCTGAAGTATCTCTATGCCAGCTATGTCAGATGCCTTCAGATTTGCAAACTGTCACCTGGCGTGGATAGGAGGGAGCGGATGATTCTAACTTCATCGTGTCCTTGGCCATTCAAAAGAAGGCACTGATTAGAAGCTATCTCAGCTGGGATTTGGATCTGCTGCATATAGAAAGGATTAGCTCATCAGTGCTAACCCTGGCTCAGAGGATCACCAGCCCATTTGCTCTGTGTGGCTGGACTCCAGCTTCTGTCCTCCAGGCTGCTCACTTGTTCTAGATAGATATCTAGTGCTCAGGAAAAACCCACATTTTAAAATGTAAAGGAATAAGCACAGCACAGTGACTGTTAGTGGAGATGGATCACCCCACGGGGTCATATGCCATTTGCAGGAACATTTTTTTACTGAACTGACAGAGGAGGTAAGAGGTATCTGACCTTTGTCTACTTTAGAATAAGAATTGCTCAACTTGTCCCTGCTAAAGCCTCCTAGGAATGCTAGAGAATACCGTCCAGAGAAGATTACCTCCCACATAGGTTGAGAGGGGAAAACACACACACACACACACACACAGAGAGAGAGACATTGGTGACACCTTGTTTTACCCCTTCTCTCCAAGCTTATTCCCAAGGGCTGAGAGGATGGAGGCTGCCTGGTTTGTTTAGCTTCCTCTGCCTCCCTTCACACAATGGCTTGCACTTTTCCACACTGGCTCCTTTGCCTCAGAGGTGGCCCATATTCACAAGTGTGGGCCCCTGCAGGAAGATATCTTTTTGTCTCTGTGTATGTCTCTTTATGACTCTTAGGTATAGTAGGTGCTGGATAAATGTTTGATGAATTGGTCCGTGTGTACACGTGTATATTGTGGGGGTAACTCTGCAGGAACTCTCTCTCTATAGGCATGCCATGTGACTTGCAAAGGCTCACATTTAATCCTTAGTGGTCCTATGTTGGTAGTTGGCCCCACTTTTCTAAGGTGAGAAACTGAGGAGCAAGGAAGATAACTTGCTCCAGCTCACAAGTTCACTGGGGCCTCAGGGGCTCCTCTTCCCCATCTGGTCTGAGCGGTGTTAATAGAGAAGATTGTTTTCTTTTCCGAAGCGGCAGAGGGGAGAAGCCCAGCTTGGGGCCATTCCTCAGGTGGCAGCGTCTGCCCAGAGCGCTCGCTTGGAGAGGGGACAAAATGGGACATCTTTTTGCCATAATTTATCTGACAGAAGGTCCTCCCAAATAAACATCTCTCAGAAAGTTTACATTTTGAAACAGCTCTACCCTCCTACGCCAAGCATGTCCCCAGCCACAGCGGAGTCAGATTGCCTGCGAGCCCAGGCCCCGCCCTTCGCCGCGCCCCCCACGAAAGCCTGGAGGAAGTGGGGAGAGGGTGCAGGGCCCTGGGAGTGGGGTGCAGAGCCCGTCCGGGTGCAGGACTGGCCCAGCCGCAGGGCTTTCTCGGGACGTCAGAGCCGAGGCCACTGTATAATCTGGCCGCCCTCGCCTGCCCCCAGGTTCGCCCCTTCCTCCCCCTGACCACCCCTGCCGCCGACGTGCCCATCTGGTCCCTCCGGCCCGGGGGACACTCACCCTGCCACTCGAGGACACGCTCGGGAGTAAGCGCCGCCGCCGCGCCCTCGGCGGAGCCCGGAGGCGCCCCCAGAAGCGGCAGCAGCAGCGACAGCAGCGACAGCAACGGCATCGCTAACCACTGGGCTCGCCGGACGCCGGGTGTCGCGCCCGCGGGGGGGCCAGTGCCGCTGCCGGAGCTGCGGGAGGCGGGACCGCAGCCTCCTCCGCGCTCCACCCCTCCCCGGGGGCCTTGCCACCCCTGCGTCGCGGAGACCCACCCCGTCACCCCTGTCGCCACAGTGTGCGGACACTCGGGGCTATGGGCTGGAAGACGGGAAAGCTGCGGAGGTTTCTCCGCCCTACCCACTCTGGTTTGGAGCAGGAGGAGAAAGAGGGGGTGGGCCATCTGCCCATCCCAGAAATTCCTGCCTTTAGGGTGGGGAGAGGGGAGGGGTGAGGCTGCCCGGTGCACGCTCCTCCTGCTTCCAGCCTCGTCTCTCCTTCCTGGGGGAGACCGACTAGGAGTCGGGGATGAGCGAATTGAGAATCTCTGGGACAGGAAGTCTGACATCTGGGTTTGTAAACCACCCAGATTCTGGTAAACACTGCGGGTTTGGCAGCAGGCAGCTAAAGTAAACCGAGCTGGTAGAGGGGAGGGTGGAACCAGGAGTTTTGGGAACGCTCTGGACCTCCTCTCCCCTGGAATGTGGAGCCTGGAGATCCCTTGGGTGCTCCCTGGTCGCCCCCTCTTCACTCCAGAGTACCCTGAAGGTTCTTCCATCGGTGAGCTCCTTTCCCGTGTAAAAACAACCTCCCCCTTACATCTCCGTGGATCCCCTAAACCAGTAAGATAGCTGGGTTGTGCTGCATTCCAGCCGTTTACCCACTTACAGCTAAAAACTAGTCCAGAAAGGCAAAGTGATTCGCCCTAAGAGGTTATTCCTTAATTTGGCAAAAGCTACTTCCTAAACTAGGAAAACCCTGACTAGAATGTAGTCTTCCTAAGGGCAGTCTTTCAAATAACTAGCGGAACACTGAAAACATTTAATATACATGAGAATAGGCTAATATAAGACCTTTCCTAAATAGTCATTAAACATAACATTGTTTATAGCATTAGTCATTAAAACATAAGAGGAGGGAAGAAAGCAAAAGGGAGCTTAAAAAGAAAAAGAAGATAGTGGGATCTTGGAGGACCCTGCCTTTCTCAGCTGCCTGTTGGCCAAGACCAAACCCATATTTTTGAGTAACACTGTCAGCTAGAGACTGAATTGTGTCCCACCGCCCCCATCCCCCAATCATATGTTGAAGCCTTAACCATCCCTCCCCCCAAATGTTATTGTATTTGGATATAGGGATTTTAGGAGTTAAAGTTAAATGAGGTCTTAAGGATGGAGTCCTATATAGGGTCAGCCTTATACGGAGAGGAAGAGAGAGAGCTCTACACCCAGCCACCAAGGGAAGGCCATGTGACGACACAGCAAGAAGGTGGCCTTCTGCAAGGCAGGAAGAGAGCCCTCATCAAAACCCAGAACCTCTAGAAACTTGATTTTGGACTTTCCAGGCTTCGGAACTGTGAGAAATAAATTTCTGTTGTTTAAACCACCCAATTTATAATATTTTGTAATAACCCGAGCAGACTAATAAAACTGTCTTAGCCTGGTTCCCCAGAAAGCCTGGGATGAGGTCCCTGGCAGGGAGTAGGATTAAAGATCCAAGTGAAATAGAGAAGAAAGGAAAGCCATTGATTGCCTTGGCCACTGTAGTAGCAACCTGTGCTCAGTCTAGCTGGAACCTCATAAAATCTCAGAACTGTCTGCTCTGGGGATGGGAGGAAAGGGGAAACATTTATCCTTAGGCTCACCATCCCTGCTAGTTAAGGTGGTCCCAGGGTTATTAACTCCTCTGCACACTTTTATGGCAGTGGTAAGTTTCAAGGGTGGTCCCATGCCTTGGCATTCGGGAAGCCGTGGGGCAGGCAGCAACAGGTGCATGACATGGCCAGAGGTTGGGTGCTGTCATGTTGCTCCAGAGGGAACCTGTGTAGGGCTGGCTGCTGCAGAGGGGACTGGAGTAAGAGGTGGGGCTGAGAGGATCGAGAGTTTCCAGTGTGGGTGCTGAGTCAATAACGTATTATTATATGCAGAAGTCAGCATCCATGCCTGAAACATGCAGAAAAAGGATGGTTTCAGCATACCAGATTACATAGACTTCAATCATGAATATTCATCAGTCTCTCCAGTGGCCTCAGAACTACTTTATGTGTTGTGGGAATAACCCCAAAGTAGATTCAGCCCTGTCTGCGTGGGCTGGCCTCTAATGCAGCGGCCAGGTGCAATCCGTGTGGCATAATTAAGTAGTAAAGTGCAGCACTGATGTTAATCTTTGGTGAGGTGCAGCACAGGGAGGGTAAAAGGGAGAGAGACCAGGAGGAGCTCGCATGATGGGGCAGGGTTAGATGTGTTCAGATAGGGAGTTAGATGTGTTCAGATAGGATGAAGGGTATTTGGAAGGAAGAGGTTGTTCTAGGATTGGAAGCAGTTGTGGAAAAAAATACAAATGTTAGATTAAGAAATCCTTGCATAGGAGAGAGCAAGTGGGCGGGCCTGGCTGCAGCAAAGGGCAGCTATTGGGGAACTCTGGCAAATGAGACCAGTCACTGAGACACTAGGTTTCCTCCCAGTGATTGGGTCTGGGTGAGACATTCACCTACTAGGGCTTCAGTTTTGTCCTCTGTAATGGGGGGGGGGCCTTCCCTGACCCACAGCAGACAATATTCAAAGTAGCAGAGCTATGAATACGAGCGGGATAAAGAGGGGAAACAAGCCATATTTCATGTTCGGAGCAATTAGTGTAATGAAGAATGGTGATGACAGCTTCCTGGCCTACTGACACCAAATTTCCTATGCAATGATTAGAAGACTCCGAAAGAGATGGTTTTCATCTCTTCCTGAAGTATTGCGGCTTTGAGGTGGAAATCTGTGGCCCAAAGAGCTTTTTGCCTTTGAGAAAATGATCCTTTCCCATACCCTCGTCTTGCATGTGTTTCAGATTTGTCCGGTAGGGTAGTGTAACAGGTAAAGTAAGTGCTTTTCCACTTACAAGCCGGTTTCCTAGTCTGCTTAGCCTCAGTTTCCTTCTGTGTAAGATGCAAATGGGACTGTTTGGTTTACAGGGCTGCTGTGTTAAATGTGATAAGATTGTGCAGTGCTTGGCACAGTCTGGCATGTGGTCAGTGTCCATTTATTGGAACTGTGGGTGTGTAGGGAGGAAGCAGGAGGGAGGGAGCAGCAAATAGAAGCACAAAGACAGCTCAGGAGGGAGCACTGCAGAGCTCTCTTCTGCTGAAATGATGTCTCTTGCATCCAGTCAGCTCAGAACACGGCTGCTAGTGCCCTGCACCTGCAGATCGCGTACATCTTCTGTCACTTGATGTATCATTTTGAATTAGAATTATTTCATGTATATCCCTCACCGGAATGTGAGTTCCTTGAGGAACTGCATACATTTTCCTTCTCTGAATCTCCAGGGCATTTCAATTCCCGATAGTAAATTCTCAAAAAATCTCTGCTGAATGAGTGAATGAAGGAGGGAAGGAAGGAGGTTGAAAGGAGTATAGTGTTTGGAGTCATCTGAAACTCAATAAAATGTTAGAAACCTGAATTATGTTGAATGAAAGTGGTGAGGACAATTCAGGGATTTAAAGCTTAATGTATGGGTTATGGTGGGGATCAAAATTAACAAATATATTTTGAGCTCTGTAGGAATCAGGGCCTCAGCAAGAAAGCGTGAGACCCTGATTTATAGTGAAGAGCTATTTATACATGCATGGGCAAAGTGAAGGCAACCAAAACAGGACAGGGAAGATCTAGTTCTAGCAAGTGCTGGAAGCTGTCACTACTACACCTGGGCCTGAAGGAACAGGGCAGGAAGCAGTTACAAGGACCTCATGACAGCTGTACCTCTGGGACAGGGAACATCCAACAGGGCAGAGGAAGAGCAATTGCTACCAAACTGAAGCCTGTCAGGGAGGAGGCTGAGAAAAGGAATAGCTTGTCCTGTCTTCTCCTGCCCTCTGATCTCTTTCCATTGGTTGAACCCAACCAGAAGTCCGTGGTGAAGGAATTCACAGAAGTCAGCTTTCCAGAGCACAGGGCAGCATAGAGAGCTCTGGACAGTGAGTCTGGAGGGACAAACAATGACTCTCAAAGCAATCATCTTCTGTCTATCTTGGTACTGGTGTGGAGGATACCACAGAGAACAGGGTGTGATGAGTCCTTGCCCATGATCACAGAGTTCTGAATCTGGAAGAGAAATGAATACATAAACAAACAATTACAATAACAAACAAATATAGTAACAGTTACAATGCATGTCACAATATGAGGATGTATCTGAAACTTGACAAGTACTGAGAAGGGCTACTTATCAAAGCTTGAGGCTCAAAGAAGGCTTCCAAGTGGAAGTGGCATCCACATTGGCACCTTGAATAGTTAGCTAACTTCAAAAGATACACTTAAGAGAATGAAAGAAAAAGCCACTAATTGGGACAAAATATTTACAAACCATAATCTGATAAATAACTCATATCTAGAATGTATAAACAACTCTCAAACTCAATGATAAGAAAACAAATATCCTAAATATCAAATAGGCAAAAGACTTGAGTAGATACTTCACCAAAGAAGATGTACAGATGGCAAATAAACACATGAAATGATTTTCAAGGCCATTAGGCATTAGGGAAATACAAGTTTAACCACAGTAACATACTACTACACATCTAGTAGAATGCTTAAAATTAAAAAGACTGACTATACTCAGTGCTAGCAAGGATGTGGAGAAACCAGAGCTCTTACACACTGCTGATAGGAATGGAAAATGGTACAGCCACTTGGGAAAAGAGTTTGGTAGTCTTTTAAAAAGTTAAAAACACATAACTACTTAGTTTCCTAGAGCTGCCATAACAAAGTACCACAAGTAGGGTGGCTTAAAATGACAAGAACTTTTTCTCTCACAATTTTGTGGGCTGAAAGTCCAAAAGCAGGGTGTCAGCAGGGTTGGTTTCATCTTGAGGGTCTGAGAATCTGTTCCATGCCTCTCAGTTAGTTTCTGGTGGTTGCTGGCAATCCTTGGCATCACTTGGCTTATAGCTGCATCACTGTAATCTCTGCCTCCATCATTGCATGGCTTTCTTCCATTTATATCTCTCTGGTCTTCACATTGTCTTCTTACAAGGACATTAGTATTGCATTTAGGACCCACCCTGATCCAGTATGACCGGATTATAATTAAGTACATCTGAAAAGACCCTTCTTCCAAATAAAGTCACATTCTGGGGTTCCATCTGGACATTCTTCAATCCAGGACAATAGCCATATGACCTAGCCATTCCACTCCTAGGTATTTACCCAAAAAAAA